TAATAATAATAATAATAATAATAATAATCATTATTATCATCATGATCGGTTTTCTAGCCAAAAGCTTCTTCTACCCATCAACAACCACAAATTGATAAAGTTGAACCAGTTGTTGTTCATAAAACTCCTAAAATTGGTTTAGATGATTTTACTTTTATTTCAGTATTAGGTAAAGGAAATTTTGGTAAAGTGATGCTTGCTGAAGAAAAAACCACAAAAAAACTTTATGCTATAAAAGTTTTAAAGAAAGAATTCATTATTGAAAATGACGAAGTTGAAAGGTATTAATTGATTTACTAATTTATTAATTTGGTTTGTTTTGAATAAAAAATAACATATTTTATAGTATTAGTAAATCAATTAACTTGTTGATTAATTAATTAACTAACAAACTAATTAATTGATAAAGTACACGATCTGAAAAAAGAGTCTTCCAAACTGCTAATCGCGAAAGGCATCCATTTTTACTTGGTCTTCATTCTTGCTTCCAAACAGAAACTAGAATTTATTTCGTAATGGAGTATGTTAGTGGTGGTGATTTGATGTTACACATCCAGAGAGAACAATTTACATATAGAAGAGCTCAGTATGTTATCCTTTATATTCTTTTTTATAATCATTTTTGTAAATTAATAATAATCGTTGTTCTTTTTTTTTTTCTAGATTTTATGCAGCCGAAGTATTGCTTGCATTAGAATATTTACATAAACATGGTATTATATACAGGGATTTAAAACTTGATAATATACTTCTTACATTAGATGGACATATTAAAATTGCAGATTATGGTCTTTGCAAAGAAGAGATGTGGTTTGGTTGTACTACTAATACATTTTGTGGTACACCAGAATTTATGGCACCCGAGGTAAATAAACGAATCTATAAATATTAATAAATAAATATACATCATATTAATTAATGCAATATAATGTTATATGTTGATAGATTCTTTTGGAAAAAAGATACGGTAGAGCAGTTGATTGGTGGGCATTTGGTGTTTTGATATATGAAATGCTTTTGGGACAATCACCATTTCGTGGTGAAGATGAAGATGAAATTTTTGATGCAATTCTAGAAGATGAAATTTTATATCCAATCAACATGTCTAGAGATTCTGTTTCCATATTACAAAAAGTAATTAATTTTATTTGGCAAAGCAAAATGATAATATTTTGCTTATAATTAATATTTTAATTGTTAACTTATTTATTATACATTACGTTATTATTATTAGTTGCT